TTTGGTTTCAGTGTGGCTCCAAAAGTGTTTTGCCGCGACTCGCAGCTATGCTGCTCGCTTATTTCCGGTCCGCGGTCTGTTTCACACATACTCAGACTGAGAAATCCGAAAGAAATCAGAGTAAGAGTTCACATGCACTGAGAAATCTGATTACTGAGCTAAAATCCAACTTATCATATTTCTTAATCAGATTTCTAGACCTTATTCTGATCTAAGAAATCAGAGTGTTCTGTTTACATGACCATTTGAATAATCAGATAACTGCAGAAATCCGATGATCGGATTATTGAATGCATATAAACACACTCATTGTCTAGATGGCAAATGTTGCCCTAAAGTGTATTTGTACCCCTCAGCATTAATGGTGGCTTCACAGATGTGCAAGTTACCCACCCCACCATGACAGACACTGGCTTTCAAACCACGTGTTGGTAACAATTGGGATGGTCCTTTGGCCTGGAGAACACGGCATATTATTTCCAAAACAATTTGAGAGGTGGACTCGTCAGACCACAGCACACATTTCCACTTTGTGTCAGTCCATATTAGATGAACTTTAGCCCAGAGAAGTCGGCGGCAATATACGGCTTCCTCTTCGGATAGTAGAGTCTTAACTAGCACTTGTGGATGCAGTGAGTGAAAGGGTTTACTGACAAGGGTTTTCTGAAGTATTCCCTCCTGAGCCCATGTGTTTATATTCATTAGGGCCATGTTCGTTTTTAATCCAGTGATTTTGGCCTTGTCCTTTACGCACTTAGATTTCTCAGAATTGCCTGAATCTTTTGATGATATTCTGTACTGTTGAGGGTGAAATACCTTCAGTACTTGCAAATGTTTGATGTAGAACATTATTCTTAAACCATTGATGCATGTTTTGGCAAAGTGCAGAGCCTCGACCCGTCCTCGCTCATTAATGAACCTGTATTTCCTGGATGCTCCTTTTAAACCCAAGCATGATTGCATCACCTTTAAGATGTTTTCTGGAACATTTCACAATGTTCCTAGTCTTATTTTGCCCCTGTCGTAACTTTTTTTGGAATGTGTTGCATGCCTCAGTTCAAAGTCAAGGTCTCAACTTTTTGGAATAGGGTTTATATTCATTTCACTTTATTTTTTTTATCTGCACTATTTAACAGGAATTTTAATGATTTCATACCTGCAACTCTGGAGTCTAGCGCTCATGTATGGAGGTTTGGAGCTCATGCAGGGAGGTTTGGAGCTCATGTATGCAGGTTTAGAGTTTGGTTACAAAAGTTTGGCATCAAATATGGAGGTTTGGAGGTCAGGTATCAGTTTTTCAGTGTGAATCTGATGCAGTTGTAGTTGCATAGCAGTACATCAGGTTAAGCTTTCGTTAGCATTATATCTAAATATCTTATATTTATATCTAAGTATGATCTTCATGGTGTTCAGTGACAGTAATGTGGTCATTATTAAATGTGTGATGGTACGTCAGTGAGTTGTAGTTGTTAATAGTAAGGAGTCTTACGCTGTAGGAAATGATCTGATGGAGCTGTTTAAACTGACTCCCTGTTCCACTGAATATTTGCAGCATTTTAGCGTTTTCCCCTCATAATTCATCAGTGCAACATATTCTGTTTTTTTAGCTGTATTTTCTCATTTTACAGTTATCATTGGAGGACGTCCAGGAGAAAAGACAGATTAATAAAAACATGAACAAACATAACTAAAGAACAAAGGCTGCGTAGGAGATAATCTACCATCCAACGGGGGGTCCCGCTGCTTCCACTTTCTTGTTATGGCCTTTTTAATAGCTACCAATAATATTTGAAGCAGGTATTTATCATTCTCCCTACTAACTGGAGTACTTTCCCCAAATAAAGATTCATCCCTGAAAACTCAAACATAATTCCAAATAAGTCCCCAATAACATTTCTAATCTCTTGCCAAACAGACAGAATTGTTGGACAGCCCCAAAAATATGATATGAAAATGATCAGCCATTTGAGCACCACACCGTCTCCAGCACTGTCTCTGGTGACTTCCTTTGTGCATCAGAATATAAAAAAACCTAACCAAATATTTCCAATTAAATTTTCTTAATAATCTTGAATATCGCTGCTGTTGGAAGAAAAACCTTGTATCTCCATTTTTGTCGTTTTTCAGTTTTTGACAAAATTTGAAAATTCCTCTTACCCTTTACATTCCATGTAAATTTCATGATGAATGGACTAAAAGAAATGACCTAAAATGACTCAGAAAAAGGTCTGGTTCCATTGACTTACATTAAAAGTAACGTAGGTTTTCCCTTCTCCTGTAAAGATACCGTTTTGGAGATACGAGATTTTCTTCAGACAACAGTGAAATGATGTTGAATATTGAATATGAATCCAAGTTATTCCAGTCTTCATCCAAGATTGATATATTACATTATTTTCCCATTTTAATTTTGACACACTCTGTTTTTGATGTCCGTTTCTCGGGACCACCGAGATGTAAACGTTTATCTGTAAGGTGAAGGTGAAGTCGAAGGTGGTCCTGAGTCGCTCTATACACTAATCACTCTCTCTGTTCTGTTCCCGTCTGTCTGTCGGTCTGACTAACGTCTGAATTACAATCAGAATATCTCCATTATTCCTCGACTGCGTGGTTTATGATCTATCACTAATAATTAAGTGTGTCTGTTTTATTTTAATTGGCTGTATATAATCTATGTCTCATATACATTGTAGTTGCAACACTTTTGAGAATAATTTCCAAATTTCAGCCACAGCAGGTTTATAGGCAGTTAGGCTGCTTATTTTCACATCAATAAAGTGCAGAGTAAAACTTTGGGCATGTTTCAATGTTGTGGCAGGTTCAAATGATATGAAATATTCAGGCACCTGAAAAAAAAACAAAAAAACACTTTTTCTTCAGATGCCGTTTATATATCTTCAGACGTAGCGTAATGTCAGTAAACTGTGTTTTATTTACACTGTTTTTCTCCAGATGTGGTGTTTTATAGTGTTTCATTTTAATAAGCTGTGTTTTATTGACTTTTTCTCCAGATGTGATGTTGTGTAGTGTTTAATTTTAATAAACTGTTTTACTTACACTGTTTTTTTCCAGATGTAGTGTTACGTAGTGTTTAATTTTAATAAGCTGAGTTTTCTTGACTTTTTTCCTCCACATGTGGTGCTATGTAGTGTTTAATCTCAGTAAACTATTTTATTAACAGTTTTTCACCAGATGTGAAATTATAGGTTTTAATAGTTTTAATATTTTTAATTATAGTTTGTTATATTACCACTTTTTTTTCTAAAGATGTGGTGTTACACAGTGTTTAATTTTAATAAGCCGTGCTTTCTTGACTGTTTTTGTCCAGATGTGGTGATTTATAGTGTTTAATTTTAATAAGCCGTGTTTTGTTGACTGTTTTTGTCCAGATGTGGTGTTACACAGTGTTTCATTTCAAAAAGGAGTGTTTTGTTGACAGTTTTTGTCCAGATGTGGTTATACAGTGTTTCATTTTAATAAGCCGTGCTTTGTTGACAGTTTTTGTCCAGATGTGGTTATACAGTGTTTCATTTTAATAAGCCGTGCTTTGTTGACTGTTTTTGGCCAGATGTGGTTATACAGTGTTTAATTTTAATAAGCTGTGTTTTGTTGACTGTTTTTGGCCAGATGTGGTTATACAGTGTTTCATTTTAATAAGCCGTGCTTTGTTGACTGTTTTTGGCCAGATGTGGTTATACAGTGTTTCATTTTAATAAGCTGTGTTTTGTTGACTGTTTTTGTCCAGATGTGGTGTTACGCAGTGTTTAATTTTAATAAGCCGTGCTTTCTTGACTGTTTTTCTCCAGATGTGGTTATACAGTGTTTAATTTTAATAAGCCGTGTTTTGTTGACTGTTTTTCTCCAGATGTGGTTATACAGTGTTTAATTTTAATAAGCCGTGCTTTGTTGACTGTTTTTGGCCAGATGTGGTGTTTTACAGTGTTTAATTTTAATAAGCCGTGCTTTGTTGACTGTTTTTCTCCAGATGTGGTGTTTTACGGTGTTTAATTTTAATAAGCCGTGTTTTTTTTGACTGTTTCTGTCCAGATGTGGTGTTAGTGTTTAATTTTAATAAGCCGTGTTTTTTTTGACTGTTTCTGTCCAGATGTGGTGTTAGTGTTTAATTTTAATGAGACGTGTTTTGTTGACCGTTTTTGTCCAGATGTGGTGTTACAGTGTTTAATTTTAATGAGCCGTGTTTTGTTGACCGTTTTTGTCCAGATGTGGTGTTACAGTGTTTAATTTTAATGAGCTGTGTTTTGTTGACCGTTTTTGTCCAGATGTGGTGTTATACAGTGTTTAATTTTAATAAGCCGTGTTTTGTTGACCGTTTTTGTCCAGATGTGGTGTTTTACGGTGTTTAATTTTAATAAGCCGTGCTTTGTTGACTGTTTTTCTCCAGATGTGGTGTTTTACGGTGTTTAATTTTAATAAGCCGTGTTTTTTTTGACTGTTTCTGTCCAGATGTGGTGTTAGTGTTTAATTTTAATGAGACGTGTTTTGTTGACCGTTTTTGTCCAGATGTGGTGTTTTACAGTGTTTAATTTTAATAAGCCATGTTTTGTTGACCGTTTTTGTCCAGATGTGGTGTTATACAGTGTTTAATTTTAATAAGCCATGTTTTGTTGACCGTTTTTGTCCAGATGTGGTGTTATACAGTGTTTAATTTTAATAAGCCATGTTTTGTTGACCGTTTTTGTCCAGATGTGGTGTTATACAGTGTTTAATTTTAATAAGCCATGTTTTGTTGACCGTTTTTGTGCAGATGTGGTGTTTTACAGTGTTTAATTTTAATAAGCCATGTTTTGTTGATCGTTTTTGTCCAGATGTGGTGTTATACAGTGTTTAATTTCAGTGAACTGAGTTTGTTCTGAGCTGGTAGTGGCCGTTGTTGTGGTGGGTGGAGCTCCGAGCGGAAGTAGTTTGAGTATGCTAATGAAGTGTTAGGCTCAAGATATTTACGTTCCGCGGGCGCCGCCCTTCATTCACGCGCACATGGCTCAGCGCAGCGCGCACCGCCGCCGCGCGGGTTTATTGTTTACTCCACTGTGTGTTTTATTATTTTTTTATTGGCTGGTTTGTTTGTTTGTTTGTGTATTTGTAGGAGAGAGTCTCGCGCGGACGCCGCTGGACTTTGTGGTTTCGGTCCCCGCGTGCAGCATGAACGGTAAGATCGGAGGAGAGCGCGTGAGTGAGTGAAGATGGAGGATCCGGCCGCGCGCGTGTTGTTGACATGAAACCTGTTGGCGCGAGACTTACGGAGCGGCGCACCGATCGGGCGGAGCGGGGCGCGTAAATAAATTAACCGCGCGCGCGGCGGAGGGGGGGAACGAGCGAGCCGCGCGCTCCGTCCAAACAGTGAGGCTCGCGGACACAGGCAGAGTTTGAAAGCGCGTGCGGCGGCTCGCGGTGCTGCTGTTGCTGCGGGGAGCCTCCGCCCGCGCGCGCTTCACAAATTCTAAAAAAAAAAGGGGGGGAAAAAGAGAAGAAGAAAAATAAATAAGTGTAATAACGCAGCGGAGCGCGCGGGGTAGCGGGCCTCGCGCTCGGTGTTTACGGTGTTTTAATGTGTTCAGGGTTCACCGTGTTTGAACGGATCCGCGCGCTGCTCGGAGTGGCTGCAGAACAAAAGCAGCACATGGGGGCAGGAGGCCGCGCGCAGCTAACGGCTAACAGCTAACACGCGTTCACACACAGAGAAGAGGCTCAAAAACGTCCAGCGCGCGGATAAAAGTGGTATATTTGAGGTGAATGTCGACACTCTCAACCCCAAAACTGCGAAACGGGCCGACTGCGGTGACCGTAAACATCCGTTTATCAAAAAATAACGAACAGCCAGCAGCTACGCTAGCTGCTCTTCGGGCGCGCGTGGTCTTGGTGCACGCGCAGGCCGGACGCGCTCTTTTGTGCGAGTTGGTGAGTTTAGTGGTGTTTTTGCTCGCTGTGCGGGTTTCTGCGCGTGTATCTGAGGGAGGGCGCGCGTTTAAAGGGGGGAGGCTTGTAGCTCCGTTAGCGAGCAGAAACGGAGAAGGGGGGCAAAAGCAGCGCGAGCTAAAGCTAATCACTCTGTGCTAATACACACACACGCGCGCGCGCTGAGTAGTAGCGCGAGCCCGAGAGCAGTCGGTCGGTGAGCTCGCGGTAATTTCCTCGCGGGTTGAACAGTTAGTAGTTTATTTTCAGTGTTATTTTGTTTGTTCGTTTTTTTGTCGTTGTCGCGAGGCTTTGATGTGGGTGACTGCGGCGCCGCGCGCTGTGTGTGCGTGAGTTTCAGGCGCACGGGCGCTGCGGACTCGGCGGCGCCATGTTGGTGCAGGTTGCGCGGGGGGAGGGGGTGGCTGTGCACGCGCGCGGGCGCATGCGCCATATTAGTGCGGGGCTTTAAGGAGGGGAACGCTTGCGCACTCGAGCGGCAGGCCCGCGCATGCGCCCTCTTCCTCCCTTCCTCCCTCTCCTTACGCGTTGGGGGAGGGAGCCCGCGCTCACGAGGACGAGCGCGCATGCGCGGGCATGCCGCGCGGGACGCACGAGTGAGTGCACGCTCATCTTGCGCTGCACTTGCGTATAAAGCTTTTAGCTTAAGTGTGAATTAAATTAATTAAGGTTTTTTTGCTGTTTGTTTATTTATACGCTTTTATTCTTTTTTAAACTCGTGTTACGTTTAAAAGAAGTCTTTATTTTTAAAGAGAGCTAAAAAAGTGGACTTAAACAAGAAAACCCAGTGATAAAAATAAAACAATTGACAATATTTGGCAACCAAAAATCCAATATAAGTTACAGGCAGTGCAAAAATAATTCTGATAAACATAAGATTATGGTCTTATTCTGTAATGTGAATGTGGGAATAACCTGCTTCTGTTTCCTTTTTCCAGACGTCCCACGTCAGAGGGTCCAACTGAGGTCACTCCATCTTCATCCGGGGCTCTTCTGTGGGGACCCATGTCACTGTAGGGTCAAAGTGCTTACAGTGCAGGTAGTTCTGTGCATTGTCTACTGCAGTGGAGGCACTTCAAGCTCTACACTGACGCGCAGTCACCCGTGAGCACGGAGCCGCGGCGGCGTGAGCTGGACGACTGCTTATGCTAAGGTGCATCTAGTGCAGATAGTGGAATAGACTAGCACCTACTGCCCTAAGTGCCCCTTCTGGCATAAGGGGCTGGGATGTCTGCCTGCTGTGATTGGCTGTGTCCCCTTAACCCCCTCCCCTGTACACACTCTCTCTGCTGTGATTGGCTGTGACCCCACCCCTCCTCCCTCTCTCTTTTAATGCAGTTCTCTGCTAGTTTTGCATAGTTGCACTACAAGAAAAATTGAGTTGTGCAAATCTATGCAAAACTGATGGTGGCCTGCTTTCCCCGTCATTTCCTTTGTTTGGCTCAGATGGTTGCTGGCCGTAGCGCTGTGTGCGTGTCTCCGTCTGTCTGTCCGTCCGTCTTGTTTCCAGGAGATCGCCCCCCCCCCTTCCTCCTCATCCTCCTCCTGCAGCCACTTGTTGGTCCCAGCAGTATTAAAGTGCTTATAGTGCAGGTAGTTTACTGTAACGCTTCTACTGCAGTGTGAGCACTTGAAGTACTTCTAGACGCGTGCATCGTGGTGGACGCTGCGGTCGCTGGCCGGACGCTGATTGTCATCACTGGTCTGGTCAGTTTTGCTGGTTTGCATTCAGCGTTCCCCCTGTTGCTGTGCAAATCCATGCAAAACTGACTGTAGCGGTGAACGAGCTCGATAGCGGCTTCGTGTCGACTCGCCCCTTTCTTTGCAGGTTGGGATCGGTAGCAATGTTCTGTTCTGCTGGAGTATTGCACTTGTCCCGGCCTGTTAAGGGTATGGGGAATGTCCCGGCTGACTTCACGGGGTTGTTGATGCCATCTTTTCCCCCCTCCCCCAAATATTTTAAGACTGTTTTAATCGGACTCTGTAATAAAGTCTTTTGCATGGACCTTTGCTTCTCTGTCTTTGCTTGCAGATTCACCGCTGATTTAAAACGGCATTCAGGATCAGCAGAAGTGGCACCAGCAGTCACAGTGTACACACTTAAAAAAGATGGTTCTCCAAGGGTTCTTTGGTAAAGAAAACTGTTCTATGTAGAACAACGAACTGAGAACCCTTGGCATCGTAAAAGGGTTTATTAGATTGCTGTAAATGGTTTTATATAGAACCTTTTTGAAAAGGGTTCTTCTGTTACAAGCTTGACATCTTAACAATAGCAGAACGCTTTTTGGTGCTACGTAGAACCTTTTCCAGAAAGATTCTGTATTGGACCATCTGCAGCATGTTCTCAAATCAATCTGCATAACACTTTCACCATGCAAAGGGTCCTTTGACTGTTCTTGGTTCAATATAGAACTTTTTCTTTTTTTTTTTTTAAATGAAGAACTGTCTATTTTTAAGAGTGTAGACCAAACATGCATGGCCTATCTCTCTTTGGAAGGACTGTGCCTGGGTAGTTCTCTGAGCTGGTGTTCAGGTCTTGGAGGACTTCAGTTCAGCACAGTTTTGGTGGTTTACCTACTCAAAAACCTGGTAACTAACTCCCGAGTTTGAATCAGGTGTGTTTTGAGCAGGTAGATTACCAAACTCTGCTTGACCGGAACCTCCTTGAACAGCTTTTCAGCGAAGGGTCGGTGTGGCTGCATTCCCTCCAAGCAGGAGCTCATCTGCTTCCACTTTTTTAAACAGTTCATCTCCGTCTTCAAACGATTGATCAGATGTGCTTTTGCTTGATTGGAAAGGGAAACTGCAACCACACCGGCCCTTTCTGGAGAAGACTGGACACCCCTGATGTTGAATAACTGCAACCGAGCAGTACTATGTAGTGCAGGGGTGTCTGGTTCTGGTTCTGGTTCTGGAGGGCTTCAGTCCAGCTCAGTTTGGTGGTTTTCCTTTTTCAGACACCACTCGGCCATTAGTTACCAGGTTTTTGAGCAGGTTAACCACCAAGGCCTGGAGGACTTCAGTCCTGAACACCACTGCACTGTCACAGTTATTCCAGTAGGAGGTTATAATACACCTGCTGGAATGGAAGTAATAGTCACCAGGTTTGATTAATGTTTTTATTGCTGGACTAAAGCCCTGCAGCTGATGACCTCTGAGCTGAGTATAGTCCAGAGTGTCTGTGGGCCTTTAAGTCTTAATCTGTGTAAAATTACATTGTAGGTGCCAAACTTTGAGTTCTGTTTGTTTTCCAATGGAGGAACTGTTGACATCTTTACCAGCATGATTATAAATTTTATTTCTTTTAAATGGCTAAAATATCTTTTCAGTGGATTTTAAGCTGCAGTTGTTTAATTTTTTTTATTTGCATTTGAAAAAAACACGATGCTAAATCTGCTTTGATCACTGTTGAACACTGACTGGTTACTGATGTATTTGATGGAAAATAAATAATGATGCAGAATTTGTTTAACCATTTTTCACATTCATAAAACTTGTGATTGAGGTTTTTTTGTCTGGCCTGCATCCATAGTGGTTGAGCAAATCTAAGAGCATGCTACAAATGAATGCAACACTTCATTTTATAAAAGATGACAAAGGAATAAAATTTATATTTCTTAAACACTAATAAAGTGTCTCATGAATAGGTCACTTTGACCCAAACCCAAGGGTTACAGGCATGAAGTACTAAATGATCTTATTTAAACTGATTTAGAGCTCAGGATGCAGTTTTTTTACACATCACATAATAAATAATACTGGAGTGCTGTGGTGATGCTGGGTCATCAGTGGTCACCAACCATTTTCTTGGAGCTCTGCCTGCCTGCAAGTTGTCCAGTTCTGACTACAATCTGCTGTACCTGCCGCAGATAATGAACTTGATTGGCTGGTTCAGGTGTGTTAGTGGTGCATGTCAGATGCAGGTTGGAACTAAGCTCTGCAGGACAGATCTCCACGTGGGCAGGTGACCACTGATATAAACTACTGCCAGTCTAATAAAGAGGTCACTAATCTTATCCACTAAAGGTCAGCATGTCTGTTGGTTTTCATTCCAATCAAGCAGGAGCAGAACTGATCAGCTGGTCTCAGTATTAAACCAATTGATCAGGTGTTCTAATTGATTGGAATAAAAACCTGCAACCACACCGGATAAAACTGGACATTCTGACCTACTGCTAAGTTAGTGTTCAGGGATACGTGGCAATATGAGTGAGTTACTTTTAATAGTGCTTTAATGTTTAAGATTAATATATACTTGTTGCAGATTTAAAGTGGTATGAATTTTTTTTCAAATATTATGCATAATAAAAGGGTTAACAACTCCACAGAGCGGTTCAGAGTGGTTTGGTGTGAAACGCTCTGTTCTAGAGAAACTTCAGAACTGTTCACAGTGGTGGTGATAGGAACCAGACGTCCACCTCTAAAAGCTCCCTCACAGAAAGTTCCTACATGAAATGGTTATGAATTCACTGCCTGATGACTGAGACACTGTTTTATGATAGTTTAGAGAACTTAAACTCCATTCATGGTGGAGGGATACATGCAGGGTACTGTGAGGCAAAATAGTCCCCAAAGAAAACTTATTATTTCAGATTTTCCACTATTTTCCATCATCAACATTCCATATAAACTCAGAAGACTCGTGTAGGTTCACTGGTGGTTCTGGATAGTAAATAAAATGTCTATATTTGTGTTGTAGTCATGGCGACCCCTGGTTCCCATCACCACCACTGTAAAGACATCCGAGTTGGTGAGTTTCTCTGCAAATGAATAATTTCACATCAAACCACCCTGAATGACTTGGTTTATCTATCAACCACTGGATTATACAGACAATTTGAAAAATTGGTGGAATTCCCCTTTAACTTGTATTTTATTGGTTTTTAACAGTAACAACAAAACGTGAAATCTCAGCACCTGTAATGAGAACTGCATTGATATGTTAATTAATAGAAAATGTACCTATCAGATAAAGTTTATATAAAGCATTTATGAAGTAAATTATACAGCAGGAGTATAAATGGTGCATAAATGAAAGTCATTTTCTCAGTTTGTGACATTTTGAAAGAATTTCAGTATAATTCAGTTCACTGAATTCACTGGTGTGTGTTTACATCTCACTTATTTCATGTGTTCGTCTTCCCTGCTGAAAGATGCATTAATTCCATGCCGGTCTAAGCTGGTCTGGTTCTGGTTTAGCTGGTCATCCTACATGGTCATGCTGGTTGACAAGCACACCAACATCCAAAGGACAACGGTTGCTGATTTTACTGGTGACCAACCTTATCAACTTCCATTGCTGCTGACCAGCACAGCAGCATCCAAAACACAGCAGATCACTGCTGTCAGAACAAAACCTCATATTTCCGAAGTAACTTTACAGGAGAAGCAAAAACATACTTCACTATTAATGTAAGTCAATGGAACCAGACTTTTTTCCAAGTCATTTCGGTTTCTTTTGGTCCATTTATCATGAAATTTACACACAATGTAAAGGAAAACGGGAACTTGCAAATTATGACAAAAACTTAATAAACGGAAAAAATGGAGATACGAGGTTTTGTTGCGACAGCAGTGATGTTCTGGTTTTGGTGGTGACCAGTCATGCTGGTCTGTGCTGGTTTTTCTAGCAGATTTGCTTTGTTTTGTTTGTTTTTTTGGCTGTATTAGATCATATGATGGTTTTAAATGGTGGATAAATGAATGTTAATGTAAGGATGAAGGAGGAACACAGGGCCTGTGTGGAGTGTGTATTTTGGGGTTCTTGCTAGAGCAGAACTTAATATTTTGGTTGCAGTTCTATAACTGTGGTTCTAGTTCTGTCTGTGTGCCGCCCTCAGCATAGACTGCAAGTGCCAAAATAGTTGGGACAGTGTGTGAAATGCAAGTAAAAACAGGAAGCAGCAGTTTAACCTGAATTAAATTTAAATCGAAAACTATACAAAATATATTTCATGTTTTACTTTATGAACTCATCATCCATGTTCATTCAAAAAATATGACGTCTGCAACACGGTCCAAAAAAAGGCTGGACAGGAGTGATGCATCACCTTTTCTTATAAGAAAAGATCCTTTATTAGTCCCACAGCGGGGAACTTCACAGTGCTACAGCAGCAAATACAGACAATATATACACCGATCAGGCATAACATTCTGACCACCTCCTCGTTTCTACACTCATTGTCCATTTTATCAGCTCCACTTACTATATAGGTGCACTTTGTAGTTCTACAGTTACAGACTGTAGTGCATCTGTTTCTCTGATACTTTGTTAGCCCCCTTTTACCCTGTTCTTCAGTGGTCAGGACCCCCATGGACCCTCACAGAGCAGGTACTATTTGGGTGGTGGATCATTCTCAGCACTGCAGCAACACTGATGTGGTTTATTTACACTGTAATGATATTTTACATGTGTTGCACATTGGATATTGAACATGGAGTATTGATTATATTGCACACAGGAAATGGTGATGAATTCACAGTATGTTCTGTGGGTGTGTGAGGTCTAATGGAGGAGGTTCTACTGGGAGCAGTGCTGGTTGTTCAGTCTAACAGCAGCAGGAAGGAAGGAAGGACCAGCGATGGCCTCTTTCACACACTTGGGGTGAAGCAGCTGGTCACTGAAGGAGCTGCCCAGTGAGTCTCAGTCATGGGGTGGGAGCCGTTCTCCAGCATGGACGCTAGTCTTAATAATCATTTGTGGACTGAAGAGACAAACTGATCCAGTTTTTTGCCGTTCTTCACTCACAAAGTGTTCACCTGCTCAGCTCTGTGTCCGTTTTCAAGAGGAGACAGTCCAGCACCTGCACTCTCTGCTTACACAGCCTGTTTATTGGTGTGTCATGTTGAAATAAACAAGGACGTCCCTGAAAAAGACGGCATCTAAAAGCAACAAGCAGCGTCTGTTGATGGTTTGTCACAGTGTTCCTGAGCCGATACACTGCAAAAAATAATATCACAGCAAGTGTAAAATCTTAAATGTAGTCAATATAACTAATATTAGTCATTGTGATTGTTGTAAGGATATTTTGAATTCTTTCATTTCTAGGCATTCATTTTCTAGAGCGGTTGGTCAGTCAGTGTTCCTGTATAATTTGATGTGTGTATCTATCGATTGAGCTGACAAAGTTCAGCAGAGATGTTTATGTTGCTTGTATAAAAACATGATTATTCCAGCTTAAATATTTTTAAAATTATTCCACAAAAACTAAAATTGGTTGTGGAGCTAAAAAGGCCCGGTTGGGGTAATAAAGTGGCCTACAGTAGGGGTTTCTAATAAACTGGCCAGTGAGTGTGTTTATATATATATATATATATATATATATATATATATATATATATATATATATATATATATATATATATATATATATATATATATTCAGTATAGAATAGAGCTCAGTGTTCGCACGAAAATTACTGGGTATGAAAAAGTTTTGTACAATATTTTATTATATGGCAGATGTTTAACATAATGCTAAAGTCTTATTTTTTGGAAACACAGGATATGTTAAGTTGCCACATCTACTTTCAGAAATTTCTTTTAAGCTATATTAATAAAGACTCTATATATTATCATTTCTTTGTGAGCAGAGTTAAGTATCTCATCCTGCTAGTAGCTTATTAGTCTGAATGGCCTGTACAGCATTTTAGAGCTGAAGAAAGTTTAAACCACTGGGTCCTTATTTCATATGAACCACTAGAGGGCAATATAGACTGGATTAGATGTTTGGTACATTATAAAGGACTAAGGGATCTTTTCTTAATACTATTTGCTGTCCTTTTCCTGTATATGTTTAAGAGGTAACCTGCCAGTGGCCCATACAGGGCTGTGATCCCACTTTGTCATAAATATAAAAAAGAATTGACGTAACAATAAAAAAGAACTATGAAATGTTTCCAAACAGTAAACAACATTAATATGAGGCCTGAAAAAAAAAGAGTTCAAAAGGCAGTTTTTTGAAACAAAATATTCTCCCCTGATGTTTCAGCTGCCCACCTGCAACTCTACAAAAAGAAACTGTGTTGTAGAAACATTCAGCTTAATTTGCTGCCGTTCTGTTTCACGTTGCAGGACTCGACACACTGCGCTAAAAATTTAACAGCATCTGTGCTTTAATGCAGTAATGATGCTGCAATTGATCAAAATTGGAAGCACTTGAAAAAAAGCTGCTGTTTGAATTTTGCGAATTTGTAATCACAAACTTCTGGACAGATGGATTTTCTTTGAGTTATAATTAGAGCTCCTGTGAGACATGGACAGACAAACAAACAAACAAACAAACAAACAAACACAGGGCTGTGCATTTTCTCTGACAGATGTTTATCCAGCCCACCCTCTTGCCTGTGAGACCACCTGAGTCTGTGTGTGATTTCAAAAGATCCTGTTTCTCCCTCTTGTGTACAAACCATCTGCTCCACTCACAGAAACAGCATTTTTATAATGTAATGTATAATAATAAT